TCCCCTGGACGTTAGTCCATCTAAGTTCCCCCTTCCTCCCCCCTCCCTCCCCCTCCATACGACACTTAGCAGTCACACTGTACACTTCACACTTATCGATTAACAATTTATACTTTATTCATATCATCACAAAATTGAAGAATAAGTTGACATGCAGTTGGCAGATTTTCCAGGCAAGGTGGTTCAATCAACTGTCTAAGAAGTACTAGAATATTACATAGATAAAAAGCCATATAAAATAAACTACAAGCTAAAAAATTAGGAAATTAAAGAGCCTACTTCATGATTCGGAACAAAATGATCTAATCTACATTGCAAATACAAGTGCTTGTCAAGTATCAAGAACAAAGTATTACAATATTACAGTATTGCACGTTAGACCTACAAGTAAAGTGTACCATCAAGTGTCGATACACTGTGAGAAGCTTCGTTGTAAATACATAAAGAGCGTCTTCACTCTTGTGTCCACCGGTCTTGCTTGTTCATTAGAAAAAAAAACAAACAAAAACAAAACTAAAAAACGAAAAAACAAATGAAAACAGACTAAAACAAACAAACGAACAAAGAGTCTCTGAAAAATGATTTGGTACTCTGTTCTGGCCGACCTTTCATCGTTTAGGCACGCTGGCGCATTTGAAAGGTGAGGTTATGTGAGGACCCCCTTTCGTGTCATGTGGCTCTCCTCCAAACAGACTAAAAGAGCTATAGAGCTCTATTTCCCAAAAGTACTAAGTAACATGTTAAAATCTGCTTTATTCTATCTGAGTTAATAGTTGTAAATCAAACTTAGCAATACAATAAACCTAATTAAAAGATGCTAAAATATTTAAGCTGTACGAAAGCCTAGACTTTTTTTGAGTTAACTGACTATGTTTAAAATCAAGATAAAAGACTATCTAATCCAAAGCAGAAAACATAGCTATAATCTACAACACACTTTCCTAAAGTAAAACTTCTACTATATATGATAAACTATCGCTTTGTAGGTTGTAGCCATTATGCATTGATTTCTCAAACAATGAACTCACTACAGTAAATCTAAACAATTTATCAGCTCGGTGTTAGTTTAGCTTTACATATGTGAGTTGTTACTTACTTAAGCATCCTTGTACGGTGGCACTACGGGTTATGTGTACGTACAAATGTAAAAAAGATGAAGTCTTCTTTGTGAGCTCTCATTATCATTGCCGCGATAATACAAATGAAAAACTATTTCAATCCTATTAGCTGAAAGGAATACAGCTTACAGATAACAGATTTTCAATGTCGAAAAGAAGTGATTAAACGCTAAAGATGTTTATTTTAATACAAAAAGGTAACAACCTGTTCAGACAGCCTTAAAAGCCTTTTGCAATGAAATAATAAAAAAATCAAAACAAAATAAAACATTAGAAAAATTGTTGTTTTGATTGAAAACGCAACTGTCATCGGACGCAAAATAACATTTGCCACTGTCAAAACGGGTCATTTTTTGCGCTCTCTGCTTCTGCACAATTACGAAAAGCCATCTCAAAATTTTTTTTCTGTCAAAAATTAATTGTCTCCCGCTATTTCTTATGAAATTTGGGACAAATTAGCGCTTGTAAATTTTTTCAAATGCAACAAATTTTTCGAGCCCGTAGGCAAGTACAATATTTGTTGCCCTTGAAAAACTCGCCCTTATTTTTTCCAAATCTCACACAAAATCATGTGGCTACCTGTAACTGAATTAGTTATAAGACCTGATTTCGATTCAGAAACATTGAACGATAATTTTTATGATCCAAAGGCTGCGAAAACTTACTTGCAAGTGAGACTGCGCCGTCATTCACTGATATAATGGTATTCAATGCGTCACAAAGAAGGCCAACAATAACTGAGAGTGATGTCGTTAAAGATATTCCTAGTTAAATCTTACCAAACTCCTCTCAACTTCCTTTCAACCCTCAAGTATCATTTGGTGTGAAGAATTTTGTGCTCCTCAAGGTGTCCTAAGTTACAATATCCTCTAATATGTATCTTAGAGGCAGGCCCTCGCGGGAAGATGCTAGCGCTGGCGATTTTTTTTGAAGCATTTATTCTTTGTCAAGAAAACGTCAAGCCCTTTGCGAGATCGACTGCGAAATTATTTTCCAGCTGTTTTCATAAAATTTATTTTAACCTGCTTGGGATGCATGTAATTATAACACAATGAGTGACAGCAGTGGTAAAGTTTGACCTTTTACCCCCATTTATCGAACGCGAATCAAGCTGGCTCCTACTGACTTACTTCAGTTGTGGATCAGAACATTGTCCAGGATCTTTTTTGAATGGAAAGATCAAAGAACAGAGTTGTACACCTAGATTTTCTCCAAATAATTTTTTTTTCAAATCTGCTGGTTCACCAATTCAACACCTAAACTTCAATCAAAACAAAACGAAGAAAACGATCTTCAAAGAGTGCCGCTATCTAAATTTGAAATGGCAAACTTCTTCCAGTGAGTCACCTTGAATAATCCGAAACAATGTCCGGCGCAGACTTAACATTAGATTAGTTATTAGTTATTTCAAGAGTGATTTAAAGTTCTTCAAGTTCACTTCCGTAGGGTGAGCTCGAGTCTTCATACGAACGACCAATTCTTTCGAAGGCATTGAATAACTTGTCGTTGTGTTCATGATTTACACAGATCACCTGAAATCCTGTGATGTCTTTGACTTCAAGGGCACGGCAGAACGATTTATCAGAGTGTCTAATTCCCCAGTAAGGAGTGTTGCGGCAGTTTGCGTTTAGGAGTTGCTGTTCATCCTCATGGAAAATCATGTCGTCCGTGACATAGTTCACCTCCCTTAAAGCACATGTGTTATGAAGAACGACTTGGTAACGCTGTTTGCTTGGCATGAAATGAGCATTTGGGTACACACCCATGTTATCAGACCTCTGTGAAGCTTTGTGGGCGATCGAAACACCGGCAATGTGGTTGATTGCTTCATCAAATAAGAGGGTCCTGCATTTCTTTACAAACTCTTTCTGAGTTCCTTGGAGTTCATCATTCCTCTCCTCTCTCCCCTCACAATCTACCGATAAGTTCTCAGTGGTGAACGGAGAGTTTAAGAGACCTGGGCTATCCCTTATTTTCTTTAAATTTTCATCAAAAAGTAGCTTTTTGGCTTCTCTGAATGTTTTTGACTTTTTGGCCCACTCAGGCCAAAGCTCCTCAATTTCATCGCGAAGATCCCACACGGCCTCTTCGGAAGGCTGCTTGAAGGTTGTTTGCCGACAGTGGTGGAACACTCGCTGACCGAACAGTAGTCCTCTACCAAACGTACACTTCAGCCATTTGCGGTTATCCTCGTTGAATTGGTACATAAATTTTATGTCATCATCGATTGTCCAGTAAATGTCAAATTTGAAGCATTCGGCCAGACTTTTGATTACCGCTCTTGCCACGCCAATTCCACGCCCATTTCCTGGCAACACAACGTAGGTTAAATTTATTACCCTGTCCGATGGCAGTGTCTTCTTAGCCACAGTCGACTTAATTGTTTTCAGATGTCTCTTTTCCACCACTAGAAAAATGTTAAATTCCAGCTTGCCTTCACTTTTTTCTTCTTTAGGCGTTTCGTCCTCGCTCGCATCCCAAGGATTCTCTTGCAAAAAGTAGTTTCCTGTCCTTGAACGCTGTGGCCCAGGGCGTATGGTTGGAATGAAAATGGGTGCCAGTTGGACCTGGCAATTAGTAAAGCTCTTGTTGATGTTGTCTATGAGTTGCCTTGTTGTAGTGGACATTAAAGCTGCGAGGAAATTTTGAAACTGTCCATGCTTTTCTACGTGAATTTCTCCTCCAGGAATGGAGTTTTCTTCCACTATTTCACATTTGACACGTGACTTTTGGAAGGCAAAGAGGCGCTTTCTAGCGACATTCAAAAGTAGTGAATCTCTGTCGTCATTTAATTTAAACTGATCATCAAGGGGAACATCAAAATGATCCTGATCACTAAGGACGGTAAGTAGAGCTGACAGCCACTTTTCCTTAGTCACCTTTTGGTCGCTTCTGGGAGGAGCGAGGGCACTTTTGTCGAGCTTTAATTTTTTTTCGAGTTCCTGAACAAGGTCAACTTTCTCAGACGATGAAAGCAGCGCTCCAACAATATTTTTATGGGAAGATTCTGTTGTGATCTTTAACTTGTCTTTAGAACGCATTCTCATTTCTTCGGGGAAAGCTTTGGTATGATCGTAGGAGTCAAGGCTGGATAGGTCAAAGTGTGGATTATGCTTACGAATTGCCTCTCTCGAGAAATTAATGATCTTTTTTAGGGCAATCTTTGAAATAACATCTACGTTATTTAAGAATGTAATAGCAAACAGATCTTGGGCCCGAGCCATCAATGAGTCACTTACCTTTGAAGGTGTACTATCTGCTTCTTTACCACGCTTTCTGAAGACTTTGTCAATAAGAGCTTCCAATAATTGTTTAAGCATAGTTTCTCTCATCTCGTTGGTTGAGGTTTGCCATTTCTTCTGTTGAGCTTTTGTTGGTTTCCAAGTTTTCGCAATCGAGAAGTAGAGGGTTTCATATCTATGCGCGCAAAAACGTTCTATTTTGCCTTGGCAGAAAACCTCCACAAGTTCTTTGAGGCCACTCGTGATCGCCATTGATTTAGAATTCCAATACTCCTCAACTAAAGTGATGACCCGTTCACTGAAATCTAAAAGGGAAACCTCTATTCGTTGTTTGACAAATCGGATGGTTTCAATTTTATGCAGAAACCCTTTGAAGAATTCCTCGAGGTTGTCATGCTGAGTGAAGTTTTGAGAGCGAAGACACAACTCAATAAAACCTTCTTCATCCTTGTCATAAGATGATATCTCTAGGGGAGGGGGATGGTGTAATTTAATTTGCTGTGGCTCCTTAGCCTTTGCCCCACTTTGAGGAAATACTTTTTTGAGCTCTTTCGCAAGCTTATGAACTTTCTTAAGAGATGGGTGAAAAGACTTTTTGATGGTTACGTTTTCAACGTGACTGCTGATTACCTTTTTCAAGTTCTTTACAAAAGATTTGTCTTCTGGATGAAATACAAGTACCTCGCTTTCATCTTTAAGCTGCTTCAGTAGTTCTTCTCCACCTAGCTGGGGAAGTTTCTCCCAGGCTGCCCTGAAGCATTCATTGCTTTCATCATCGCCAAAGAAAACTGACCAAGCATCTTCGAGAGCTTTTCTATTCTCGCGGAGTAGTCTCTCAGCCTCGTCAGACTCTTTAGCCTTTACAACATGAACTAGTCTTGGCCTAGATGAGGTGTCGAACTGTCCATGCTGCCGAAAAATATTTGCGAGGTCATGCGATGTAACTTCTCGTCCTTGTTGGCCACTGGTGAAGAACAAGATTATGTCGGCCTTGTTTAGTTCGGTGGTAAGGATCTTGTCCCCTTTCTCTTCACCGCGGAGCCCTGGCAAATCCACAAGCTGCACATCAACCAACAATTCAAGGTGGCCGCGATCCGTTGTTTTTCTCACTCCTAAATCTTGAAAGATGGGAAATGGGCCCTCCAACTCAAGGTAAGATGCTTCCTCCTCCATCCAATTCGGAAAGTTGCGCTTGATGCACTCTCTTACCGACCCAATGCTTTCAACGATGGGAACGGCATTCCTCTCTCTATCGTCGCATCCCAGTTCAGGACAGCATACTTCAGCTTTGCCTTCTTTGTGGATGAGCACTCGCATGCTTTTAGCATTTTTAACATAAACGGGCAAACTTGTCTGTCTAACACCTTCCCCTGATGGTAGAGGTCCATCTCTGAGCCTGCTAAATAAGTTAGTAACATTGCCCTGAGGGACCCCTTGAGTCAAAAGGAAGTTAAAGAGAGAGCTTTTCCCGACACCTTCGGTACCAAAAGCAGCAATGGTAACCGTTAAATTACTGTCTAAGATTGCTGACCTATGAAAGTCATTTAAACTTTCATAGATTCTCTTTCTGGCTTTACCTACAATAGTTACGTTCTTTCCATCACCTCCTCGCTTGGGTTTCTTCGTCGAACACACTTTATTCAAGGCACCCTCTAAAACATCTAGGCTTTCAATAATTCTCTCTCCAAGGTCCCATCCAGGATCATAGTCATCAAATACCTCTGCTTTCTGCATTGTATAAGTTAAAATATCTGCGAGTAACAAGAGAATAATTCTCAGAATTTTAGAAACGTTTTAAATCAGGGAAAGACGTTTGGCGGGACTTAAACGAACACTAAAACTATATCACCATATTGGATCCTATTAAACCACAAGTAATTGCGTGCTTGGTCCACCAATCTCAAAATAAATTTGTTAAGACTTCATTTGAGTCCACTACATACGCTTGTCTACAAGATTTTAAGGATAAGGAGGTCGTGAAGTTTTTCAAATTTCATCTTTATTCAAACATTTTTAGTCATACATTGGGGGGCCATCGCAAAACGATAGAATGAAAGAAAAGAAGTATTGGTATTATGTAACCTACATCAACTCAAAACCAGGTTTCTTAGATTTTTGTTGCGGCAAAACATCTCTAGGGTCAAAAGGTCTGGACAGCAGCAGACATGTCACGAATTTAAGAAAATATACTACACTTTTTGAAAACATGTTTCAACAGTTCTTCTGCAGTAAATGGTTTGAACCCGGGGGTAACATGTGAAGGTGTAGTCTGATCGTCCGGGTGAGTGTAGTCCTGAGAAGGACTGTTGTCGGTGGCAGTGACTGACGTTTCGACAACCTGTGCGGAAGTCATCATCAGAGTCAAGTGAATGATTGTTGTCAGTAGAATGTTCTTATTCCAGTTCGTGTGAAATGATCGGTTGGTTTTGCCGTGATGTTATTGGCTGTAAGACTCAAGTGACGTAAGTCGTTCGTGATTGGTCTGTTTCGGTCTGTCGGTAAAGCTAGGTTGTTCTTTTTCGGTCGTTTGTGATGTTTATGTCGTGAATGAGTCGTTTGTATGGGGCGGGTAGTTGTTGACATCTGTTTAGGGGAGTCTGTTCTAAGTTAGTAAACCAGCTTTCCAGAGTCAGTCGTTGAAAATAGTCAGTGCTGTAGGTTAGGCATTGCGCAGAGTCCCAGTCAATGTTGTGGTTGGTAAGTCGATGGTGTTCAGCAATGTGATTGCTGACATCACCTTTCCTCGTCGCCCGTCTGTGTTCAGTCAGTCTTGTTGTGAGGTTTCTGCCAGTCTCACCGATGTAGGAGGCTTGGCAGTCGGAACAATTGATCTTATAAATCGTTCCCTGTCTGTTCCTCGGTTCGTCTTTGTCTTTAACGTTGGTTAGTAACTGACGTAGTGTGGTGATGGGTTTGTGGGCGACGCGGATATTGAAGGGTAGTAAGATGCGCGAGATGTTTTCAGACATGCCTTTTATGTACGGTATGGTTGCTGTAGTCGTAGGGGTTGCGGTGTCGTTTGTTTCGGTAGTGGTAGTGGGTCGGTGAGTGTTTCGTCGGATGAAGTCGTTGTTGTAGTTGTTCTTCGTAAAAACACGGTGAAGGTATTTGTTCTCGTCGGATAAGCTGTCTGTCGAGTC